CTTCTCCCATGCACTTCTTCCCTCTTTGAGCCTTTTCTCCACTGCCTTTCCTCCCTCCCTTCCCTCAGGCCTGCAGGCCCAGCTTGTCAAGCCACAAGCTTGGTCCCTGGCAGGGCAAAGGCCCATCCAGCTCCCCATGATGCTCTGGGGCTCTCTCTTCACCCCCCAGGCTGCACACTTCTGCACCCAGCTTGCCTGTGAGCTGGGTGTGTGTTCTGGAATCCCAGTAGCATCTACTCCTTCACCAGGGCCGTGCAGAGCCCTCCCCAGCAGGTGTTCTGTCTCATTGGCCAGACGGGAGCCCTTCACAAGTCTCCCCACAAGGACAGGCTGGGACTGCTCCTCGGACTTGGAGGAAGGGCCTGGAAATTCACTGCACACCCACCCTGGGCCATCTGCAGCTCCACTGGGAGACAGGGCAGAAATCCGGCCCTACCTTCCCTGGGAACCAGAAGGGAGAAGGAAAAGCAGGGCAGAGCTCTTTGGAACATTTTCCCGCACTCACACCACCCTCAGGCTTGGGAGTGAGCAGAGGGTGATGGCTAATTCTCAAGAAATCATCCCCCCCCCCCCAATTCACAGTATCACTCACCTAAGTGGTGTCTGGGGGATGTGACCCACTGCGGCCTGAGCTCTCCTAGCTGTATGAGCCTCCCTCGGCAGGACTGGGCAGCTAGGGGCGAGTGCTGAGATAACGATGTTTCCCTCTTCCAGCAGAGAATGGTATATGGATCTGTGAATGGATTTGTGAGTGTGCGTGTGGGTAGACAGGCTAAAGGACGGATGGATGGACGGATGGGTGGAAGGATGAATAGATCTGTTGATGGATTTGTGGGTGAGTAGGTGAATGAATGGGTAGGTGGGAGGGTGATAAGCTGAGGATGGATGGATGGATGGATGGATGGATGGTTGAGTGGGTGGGTGGATATATGGATGAGTGGGCGGGTGGGTGCATTCGGTGGGTGGGTGGGTGAGTGGGAAATTGATTGGCTAAGTGTGTAAATGAATGGATGGGTTAGCTACAGACTGACTCAGGAGTAACTACTTCTCAAAGGAATTTTCTAAATCTCTGAAATGTGAGGCCCTGGCACCCCCCAAAGGCCAGAGTCTCTAACTACCCGTCTCCTCGAAAGCCCCAGATACCAACAATCCTGAGAACCAGGGACAGGACCTGGAGAAAGTTAGGGGTTCTGGGAAACAAAAAATCCAGGGTCCAGTGCTGGCTTTTCCCCAGATTTGCTCTGGGCCCTTGGGATTTTTCAACCTTCTGAGGCTCAATTTTCTTGTCTGGAAAATGGCGCTAACCAAACCTGATGCCTGTGCTACTATGAGATTTAAACAAAATCACATGAGTAAAGTGTCTGAGATGGTTATCTGGCATGTATGAGGTGCTCACAGAATGTGATTTCCTTCCCAGAGGCAGCCCTAGGGCACGCATGCAGGCACACACATGCATACATATACATGCAAACACACATATGTGCACATACACCCCTCCAGCCCAGTGAGACCCTAGACCAGAGAAGACCAGGAGAGGCAGATGAACACACATTTATTCTCCAAGGGTTTCATGCTCTGGCAGGACTGGCCCAGCCTTGAGAACCAGAGACTCAAAGAATGGGGACTCAAATAGGGACTCAGCTTCCTGAGGCTCAGCCTCCTGGGCCTGGGCCTGGGCCAACTGGGCTGTGTGCTCAAAGGCAGCCTGCAGCAGGTGGGAAGCAAGGCAGGTGGTCCAAGTGACTAGATAGGCCAGGTGCCAGGAGGTAACCACTAGCGTGCTCTCCACCCACCAGTACAGATGCTTCATCAAGGCCAGTAGC